GGTTTAGTGACACTAGGCAAGCGATTTCACCTCTTAGGGCTCCAGACAACTCTCTAAGACTACAAAGTTGCACACACTGTACCAATGTGCCTTGCTAGATTCCCAGATTCTTCATTAGGGAGGTCCTTATCGTAATGAAATTACAGGTCCAGTCTCTATCTCTATCCTCCCCAACCAGACTATGTACATTCCTGGAGGGCAGAGACCATGGTTTTGGTTTTTGGTTTTGGTTTTGTTTTTTTATCCTGTATCCCCTGCAGCCTAGTCTCAGGATAGAGTTAAGCACATAGTAGGTGTTTAATTGATAAATTAATTTTCAATAAGTACAAGTGGTATTTACTTGGTGGTGGGTCCTTTTCAATCCCCTCATCCCCTAGTAAAATGAGGGGTTGGAATGTGGTATTCTGCAAGGCAAAGGAGCTAGGACACAACCGAGAATCACCTATACGGCAAAACTGAGTATAATCCTTAAGGGGAAAATAGATATTTAATAAAATAGAGGACTTTCAAGCATTCCTGATGAAAAGACCAGAGATGAATAGGAAATTTGACATTCAGAAATAAGACTCAAGAAACATATAAAGGTAAATATGAATAAGTAATCATAAATTACTCAATAAATCACAAATTATCTCATAATCATAACTCAATAAAGTTAAACTGTTTACATTCCTATTTGGGAAGATGATACATGTAACTCGTAAGAACCTTATTATTAGGGCAATTAAAAAAAGTTTGCATAGACAGAGGGCATGGGTGTGAGTCGATGATGTTGGGATGCTCTCCAAAAAAAAAAAAAGAAAGGAAAAAGAGGGATGCATAGGGAAGAAGGGGGAAGGGAGATGCAGAATGGGGAAAATTTTCTCACATAAAATATGTGCACAAGGGGAAGAGCTTTAACAGTAGAGGGGAAAACATATATATATGTATATATACATACACATATATGAAATGAAATATGTATACCACATACACACTGTTGTGTATAGAAATGTAACTTACCTAATAGGGAAATAGAAGGAAAAGGGGATAAGAGAAAAGGCAGGGAATGATAATAGGGAGGGTGGATTGAGGGAAGCAGTGTTTATTGGACTTTTGAGGAGGTACAAGATAAAAAGAGAGAAAAGAGAAAAAGAAACAAATAAAAACGAGATGGAGGGAAATGCACAGTTACTAATCATCGCTGTGGACAGCTACGTGGTAGAGTGGATAGACCTCTGGGCCTGGACTAAGGAAGATCTGAGTTCAAATCTAGCCTCAGATACTTAGCAACTGTGTGACCCTGGGCAAGTCATTTCACCCTGTTTGCCTCAGTTTCCTCATCTGTAAAATAAGCTGGAGAAGGAAATGGCAAACCACTCCAATATCTTTGCCAAGAAAACCCCAAATGGGGTCATGAAGAGTTGCAGACAACTAAAATGACCCAATAACAACAGTCACAACTATGCATGTGCATGGGATGACCTCACCTGTAAACCAGAAGCAGACAGCAGAATGGATTAGAAACCAGAATCCAACAATATGTTGTGTATAAGAGACACACTTGAAACGAAATGACAGAGTTAAAACGAAGAGCAGGAGCACAATTGAATATGCTTCAGCTGCACTTAAAACGGGGGATAGCAATCGTGATCTCAGACAAAGCAAAAGCAAAACCAAATCTAATTAAAAGGCATAATCAGGGAAAGCACATTTTACCAAGAGGTACCATAGATGGTGGTGTCATTTAAAAACATTTTACAGCAAGTTTCTCTGATAAAGACCCCATTTCTCAAATATATACTGGGTATAGAACTGAGTCAAATTTATAAAAATAGGCACTATTCCCCAATTGATAAATGGTCAAAGGTTATAAACAGGCAGTTTTCAGAAGAAAAAACTGAAGTTGTCTATAGGCATATGAAAAAATGTTCTACATCAACATTTATTAGAAAAAGACACACTTAAAAGAACTCTGAGATACCATCTTACACCTATTAGAAATGACAAATGCTGGAGGGCATGAGGGAAAATAGGTACACTAATGAATTGTTAGGGGAGTAACAGCCATTCTACAGAAGGATCTGGAATTATGCTCAAAGAGCTATTAAGCTGTGGACACCCCTCGACCCAGAAATACCACTGCTAGGTCTGGACCCCAAAGAGATCAAAAAAGGAAAAGGACCTAGATGTAGCAAAAATATTTACAGCAGCTCCTCTGGTGCTGTGGAAGAATTGGAAATTGAAGAGATGCTTATCAGTTGGGGAATGGCTGAACAAGTTATGGTACTAATATGATTAGAATGGAATACTGTTATGCTACAAAGTGATAGAGAGGGGTGATTTCAGAAAAACATGACAAGGCTTACGTGAACTGATACAGAATGAAGTGTGAAGAACCGGGAGATCACTGTGCACAGTAACAATGTTGTAATGATCAATTGGGAAAGATTTGGCTTCTCTGCTTAATACAGTGATGCAAGACAATGCCGACAGATTCATGGTGAAAAAATGTCCTCCAACTCCAGAGAGTGAACTGAGGAACTCTGAGTACAAATTGAAGTATATTTTTCTCACTTTATTTTTCTTGCTTTTTTTGGAAATGTGACTAATACAGAAATATATTTTGTATGATTTCACATGTAGGATTGATATATTGCTTTCACATGTATAATTAATGTTATATCGACTTCACAGTGGGTGGGTGAGGAGTGGGAGTGAAGGAGAGAATTTGGAACTCAAAATTTAAAAAGAAAATAATGCCGATAAAAAAATTTTTTTAAAGTGAGTGTACTCCAGGATAGACAAGGAAAGTAACCTCAGTTGTGAGGAGCAGTGTCCTACTCTTTTCCCTTTCCCTTCATTGAGAGTCCAGTCAAGATCCCTTTCCTTTTAATCGATAGCCAGCTCTTGGTGGAGAGGAATGACAGAGTAGTGCCACTGTTGGGAAGAAAGGTGGGTGAGTACCTGGGGGTGGCTGGTTGCCTTCCAATGACCATTGTCTATGGCACATGAGAAGTTCTTTCAGATGGAAGGGTAGGGCCAAGGCCTTGGCCAGAAGGAGGCTCAAGATGGTGAAGCATCCAGGTATATATAGCTGGACAAAGGCAAGAAGAGGGTTGGGGGAGACCAGAGAGCAAGTGGTAGCTGGCTTTTTCCAGAGCTGGAGGAAGCAGCAGGAGGGAATTCCATCTCACTCTCTAGGGAGATGGAGAAACTGAAAAGCTCCGCTATTTGGCATCAAGGTATGTGATTCCTAAGTTACCAAGCTTGATGAAAAGGAGGAGAAGCAATCAGATCTGGGGACAGAAGGATAGTCATGGAATAAGCCCTGGGGGAAAGGAGAGAGAGAAAGGGGAGGGGGGAGAGAGAGAGAGAGAGAGAGAGAGAGAGAGAGAGAGAGAGAGAGAGAGAGAGAGAGAGAGAGAGAGAGAGAGAGAGAGAGAGGAGGGGGGAGGGGGAGACAGAGAAGAGAGACAGAGACAGAGACAGAGACAGAGAGACAGAAGTAGAGAGAGAGAGAGAGAAAGAGAGGAGAAAGAAGTAGAGAGAAATAAGTTGATAGATGATAGGTGGGTAGATGAATAAATAAATTGATACATAGATAAATGAATAAACAGATGGGTGGGGAGATAGATGAATAGATAAATGAATAAATAGGTGGGTGGATAGACAGGTAGACAGACAGAGGTAGCTAGGTGGCCTGGTAGACAGAGTACTGGACTTGGCATCAGGAAGACCGAAGTTAAAATGTGCCATACTTCCTGACTGTGTGACCCTGGGCAAATAATATCTGTCTGCCTTGGGTTCCTTGTCTATAAAATGGGGATAATAAGAGCACTTGCTTCCTAGGATTATTGTGAGGATAAAATCAGATAATCTATGCAGAATGCTTTGCAAATCTTAAAGTAGCTATGGAGACAGTAGTACTGAGGTCCTCCACTACCAAAAATTCTCTCTCCTCCTCTCTTCCTTCCCTCATCTCACTCAGAAGTCTTCCTCCACTATCTCCTCCTTCACTCCTGTCTCACATGATGATGTGGCTCTCCCTGACATGTGCACAAGTGATCCCATCCCATCCCGTCTTCTCCAGCAGCTCCCCCGCTTTATCACTCCCATTCTCTCACTAATCTCCAATCTCTTGCTCTCTCCTGGTTGCTTCCCATCTGTCTACAAACATACCCATATCTCCCCCATCCTCACGAGACTCTCACTTGATCCATCCATCCCCTGTAACTCTTGTCCTGTGTCTCTTTTGCCCTTTGGGATTGAATCCCTGGAGAAGGTCATCTACGATGGTATCTCCACTTCCTTTCTTCTGTCTCTTTTTACTTCTCCATATTCTGGCTTCCAACCTCATCATTCAATGGAAAGTTCTCTCTCCAACATTACCAATGATCTCTTCATTGACAAATCCGATAACCTCATCCTTCTTGACCTTTCTGAAGCCTTTGAAACCTGCAGTCATCCTCTTCTGGGTTTTTGTAACCCTGCCCTCTCCTGGTTCTTCTCTTGCTCTGACTGCTCCTCAGTCTCCTTTGCTGGATTTTCATCCAGGTCACACCCATGCCCATGGGCATCCCACATAGCTCCATTGTGGACCCTCTTCTCTTCTCCTTCTCTTCTCCTATCCCATCTCCAACTGCCTATTAGACATCTCAAAATGGATGTTCCATAGACATCTTAAAATCAACACATCCCAAACTGACCATTATCTTTTCTCTTAAAGCCCTCAAGTGTGGGCTTTTTAATCCAAATTAAAATTTGGATTCAGTCAAAAGGCCCCATGTAAGGATTTAGGAGGCCACATGTAGCCTTAAGGCCATAGATTCCCCACCCCTGCCCTAAACCTTCCCCTTTTCCTCATTATCCTATTACTGTGGAGGGCACCACCCTCCTCCCAGTCACGTGGGCTCAAAAGCTAGGTGTCCTCCTTGATTCCCCACTCTCCTTCACTGCCTACATTCAATATGTTTGCCATGTCCTGTGGATTCTACCTTGTCAACATCTCTCTTACGTACCTTGTTCCCTCGGATATTGCTACCATCCCGTGCAGTCTGCCATTGCCTCACACCTGGATTACTGCAATAGCCAACTGGTGGGTCTCCCAACTTCAAGCTTCTCCCCACTATAGTCACACAGCACTTAGCTGCCAAATTAATATTCCTACCAAGAGAAAAAGATAAAAAATTAACATTCCTAAAGCACAAATCTGACCATATCTTTCTTTCTTTCCTTCTCTTTCTTTCTTTCTTTCTTTCTTTCTTTCTTTCTTTCTTTCTTTCTTTCTTTCTTTCTTTCTTTCTTTCTTTCTTTCTTTTTCTTTTCTCTCTCTCTCTCTCTGTCTCTCTCTCTCTCTCTCTCACATACACACACACACTCCCATTCAATATACTCCAGTGACTTTCTATCACCCCCAGGATCAAATATGAAATCCTCTGTCTTTTAAAGCTCTTCATAAGCTTTTTCAGCTAGATGGCATAGGGCATAGAGTGTTGGGCCTGGAGTTAGGAAGTCTTTCGTTAAAATCCTATTTCAGACACTTATTAGTTGCATGTCCTTGGGAAAGGCACTTAACACCCTATTTGCCTCTGTTTCCTCATCTGTAAAATGTGAATAATAATAGCACCTGCCTCCCAGGGTTGTTGTGGGGGATGAAATGAGATCATATTTATAAAGCAGTTAGCATAGTGCCTAAAAGACACTATATAAATATTAGCTATTATTATAGCTACACCAGAAATTATTCTTATTAAACTCTCCACCCCCACCTTCAGTGCACTCTGCATTCCAGTGACTCTGGCCTCCTTGCTGCTCCATCTTCCAACTTCGAACATTTTCTCTGATTGTCCCCCATGCTTGGAATGTTCCCCCTCCTCATCTGCCTCCTGGCTCTCCTGGCTTCCTTGAGGTCCCAGCTAAAGTTCCCATCTTCTACAGGAAATCTTTCTGAATTCTACCTCTGAATTCTAGTCTGTTCCCTTTCTTAATCATTTCCCATTTATCCTCTATATCACTTGTATGTTGTCTCTCCCATTACACTCTCTTTTTTCCTTTCTTTGTTGACCTATTACAAAGCATGTATTAGGCACTTAATACGTACCAGGTACTGTGCTAAGCTCTGAGGACACAAACCAAGCAAGAAATACAGTCTCTGCCCTCAAGGAGCTTACAACCTAATGGGGGAAGAGCACATATAGAGGAGAGAGATGGAAAACCATTGTCCAATGGTTCCCTGCCTTCAGCCTCTAGGAGAGTAGAAAATGGAGGTACAGGGCACCAGGAAAAGACTTAGGACCAGAGATCACAGAATTAGAGTTGGAAGGGATCTCAGAAATGACTTCATCCAAATCTCCTCATTTTATAGATGAGGAGACTGAGTTCCAGGGTGATGAAGTAACTTACCCAAGGTCACACAGGCAGTGAGGGAAAGAGGCAGGATTTGAACACTCCATCTGAGGACTCCCAAGCTGTGTGCTTTCAACTTGACCGAGATTTAGATTAGAGATCATCGAATTCCCCCATTTCACAGAGAAGGGAAATGAGAATCAGGAAAGTTAAAGGACTTGACCCAAGTTATGCATACAGTATTCAAACCCCGGGTCCTGGTACTGTAAAAGTCTCTAGCCTTGATCACATGCTGCCTGGGTTCTGAAGCCTTCCGGGTATCTGAGCCATGCAGGATCAAAAGCTCTGCGGGGAAGAGCAGAGAATCGCTCTGAGCCCCCAGAGGCCTATTTATTTATCCTGGCTCTGTCTTCTGGCTCCAGCATGTCCTTGCTGCTCATTGCCTAACTTTGGGCTTTGACAGAATGTGGGGGTGTGGGATGGGGGTGGAATCTTAGTTCCCAACTGATGCAATTACGACATCACCCAGGGTGAATGGGGCAGAAAGCTAAGGAGTAGAAGAGGGGGTCCCTGCTCTCGGGGAATTTAGAAGAGAGTGGAGGGGAAAAGGATAAGTGCACAAATGACAGGAGGAAGAGAAATGGTAGGTGCCCTAAGGGAGGAGGGAAAAATGGCTTAGGGGTGAAGGGAGGGATAGGGAGGAATAGGGTAGAAATCAGGGAAGTCTTCATGAAAGAGGCGGCGTTGGAGGCAGCCAGGTGGTGACTTGGCTAGAGAGTTGGATCTGGAGTCAGGAGAACCCAAGTGCGAATACTTCCTCAGAGACTTACAAGGTGTGTAGGCCTGGGGAAGTCACCTGTTCAGCCTCAAATTGCTCATCTCTGAAATGAGGATAACACTAGCGCCTGCCTCTTAAGACTCTTGCCAGGATCAAACGAGATGACATAGGTAATTTTCAAACCTTAAAGTATTTTTATAAATGTTAGTTATTAGTTATTATTATTAGCTGGGCCTGGGAGGATGGGTAAGAATTTCAAAAGGTGGAAATCTGGGGAGAATGCCTTCTATCTGCAACAGGGGATATTAACCTGGGATTCACAAACTTGTGTGTGTGTGTGTGTGTGTGTGTATGTTTTAAAATATTTTGATAACTGTATTTCAACACCAACAAAACCCAGCAGGAAGAGATAGAAAGAGAAATTCCATTTAAAATAACTGCAGGCAGTATAAATGCTTGGGAGGCTACCTGCCAAGACATACACAGGCACCCTATGAACACAATTATAAATCACTCTTCACACAAATAACGAGAGATCTAAACAATTGGAGAAATACTAATTGCTCATGGGTAGGCAGAGTCAATACAATAAAAATGGCAATTATCAAATGATATATTAATCGTAAATTAATATAGTAGAACTATATTGTTTTATCATTATGTTACTGCATAATCATATGTTACAGTAATATAATACAAAATATTTTATAATATAATTATACATATTATGTTAAATATAATTATGCCTAAATTGTGTTTTATAGCATAATTAATATAACATAATATTATGATAAAATTATTATTCTAATATTAATTAGAAATATATTTAAATGTAAATTTTATCATATTTAAATGTCCTATTTTATTTTTATAATAAATATATTCCTTTATATATTATAAAATATATATTTAATAACATCATATAATATTTAAATATAATTATGCCTAAAAATTATTCAGTGCTATATCAAACTACCAAAGAATTATGTTATAGAATTAGGAAAAATAATAACAAAATTCATCTGGAAGGTCAAGAATATTAAGAGAATCAATGGGGAAAAAAGTGAAAGAAGGTAGACTAGAAGTACCAGATCTCAAACTATACTCCAAAGTATATGTACTCCAAAGTAATCATCAAAACAATCTGGCACTGAATAAGAAACGGAGTGGTGGATCAATGGAATCTATAGATTAGGTACATAATACACCAGAGCAAATGAGCACAGTAAGCTATGGTTTGATAAACCCAAAGATCTCAAGTATTGGGGCAAGCACTCACTATACAATAAGAACTGCTAGGAAAACTGAAAGCAATCTGGCAGAAACTAGGTGGAGACAGACATTTCACACATGTAGAACAAGATAAAGTCAAAGTGGGTACATGATTTCAACATAAGCTAATTAGGGGGGCATGGAAAAAATTGCCTGTAAGACCTATGGATAAGGAAAAAGTTGATGACCAAACAAGAAATAGAGAAGATCACAAGAAATAAAATGGATAATCTTGATTACATTAAATTAAAATGATTTTGAACAAACAAAACCAAATGTAGCCAAAATTAGAAGGAAAGCAGGAAACTGGAGGGCTCGGGGAGTTTGCCACAGATGTCTCTAATAAAGGTCCCATTTCTCAAATATGTAGGAAACTGAGCCAAATTTATACAAATATAAGTCATTCCCCAAATGATAAGTCGTCAAAGGATGTGAACAGCAGTTTTCAGAAGATATCTGTAGTCACCTGCTCTGTAACTGTATTCTGATAGAATGGGTTTCTTTCGCAATCCTAGGTATTTAATTTTTTTTTTTTTGCATTTAAAAACTTTATCCTGAGAAGGAGTCCATAGTCCCCAGACTGTCACCCAAAGGGTCTATAATACATAAAAGGTTAAGGAACCCTGGTCTAGAAGGAAGTGGGGCATTACATCAGGGAATAAGCCCTGGGCTGAGAGCCAGAAGGCCTGAGTTTGTATTTCGGCTCTTTTCCCTGCTGCCTTTGTGAGCTTGGGCAGGTTACTTAACTGCTGTGACCCTCATTTTTATCTGTAAAATGAGAGATTGGGATTATATGATCTCTAATCCGTTAGACCTTTTAGCTCTGGTCCTGGAGCAGAGGTTTGGCTGGCATGGAGGGCCCATTAGAGCAAATTGTGAAAGACAAGTCCAAAACAGGAGACTCCTGGCAGATTGGGGAGGGGGTGGGCACATAACACCAGGTTAAGAAATTTGAGATTTATTCAGCAGGCATTAGGGAACCATTGAACAGTTTTGAGGAGGGTGATGTGATTAGCAGAGTGTTTTAGGAAGATTAGTATGACAGCCTGCTTAGGGTGAGTTGGGTGGAAAAGCAGGAGGCAGGGAGACTGGCCAGTCAAGAGGCGAGGCCAGGAGTGAGATCATAAGGATAATCTAGGGTGGTGGCAAAGGAGGGGGCTGGTTTGAGAAATACTGCAGAGGCAGAGCCTGCAGGACCTGGTATCTGACAGGATGTGTGGGGGTTGGGACAGAGGGTGTGAGTGTGGGGAACGGGGGGGGGGGGGGAGGCACGGCTGTCACTTGGAGTTTCAAACCTGGGTGACTGGGAGGGGCAAGGGCCATCTGCGGCCGTGAGAGGAGGGATATTTGGACTGATGAGGCAGAGGATAGGACTTCCTAACAAGCTGCCCCTTGCATTCTGGCTTCTGGCTGAGGAGATGGCCATCAGCCAGCTGGGCCAGGCCTAGCTCAAGGGATTGCTATCGTTGCTATGGGGACCAGCTCCAGCAGGAACAGTTCTGGGGACAAGCCCCCACCCACTGCGGTCATCTCAGAACTTTTCAGATCACTAGAAGACTCAACCTCCCTCCCCACAGGTTCACTTTCTCAGTCTCAGGGTATGAGTAATTAATGATAATTAATAATAATAGCTGGCATTGCAAAGTGCTTTACCTATATTCTCTCACTTTATGCTAATAACAGTCCTGGGAGGTAAATGCTACAGGTATTGTTATCCCCATTTTACAGATGAGGAAACTGAGGCAGACAGGTTAAAAATGACTTGCCCAGGGTCACACAGCCAGTAAGTGTCAAGTGTCTGAGGTTGGATTTGAATTCAGGTCCTCCTGACTCCAAGGCCTGAGCTTTATCCACTATGTCATCTAGCTTCCCTAAGGCAGGAATTAAAGACAGGTCTTCTGGACTACCATTCCAGCACTCTACCCATTGCCCCATGAGTGAGAAGTAGATGGGGTGAAGGGAGAGAGTGAGAGAGAGAGAGAGAGAGAGAGAGAGAGAGAGAGAGAGAGAGAGAGAGAGAGAGAGAGTGTGTGTGTGTGTGTGTGTGTGTGACTGGCTGTCTTCCAATTTCCCTTTAAAACTCACCTTAAGTCCTTTCCTATGCCTCCACCTCACCAATTACTTTGTATTTATGTTGCATAGAAATATACATGTTTATCTACAAGCACACATATTTTTTCAATAGTAAATTTGTATTTCTTTATACGTACAAAAATATTTCATTGGGAATAGGTAGATCACATAGATTTGTACATTTCTGTAATTTTCATTCTGGACAACACGTGAATGAGACACAGAATGTAAGTAAGAAGGACTTTGTAAAATGGAAAAAAAATCCTTGGTTTTAAGGCAGCTAGCTTGACCTCGGAGAAAGATGAAATCAATGTACATGTACATGTACGATATATATACATTTTCAACAGAAATAGCTAGCATTTTTTATTTTTTTATTTTTATTAATTTATTTTGATTTATCAACAATCACTTCCATATGCTTTTGAGTTGAAAAATTTTTCTCCCCCTTCCTCCCACCCCCCCCAAGACAGTGCACAATCTGATATAGGCTTTATATTTACATACCCATTAAACATATTTTCACATTAGTGAAGTTGTAAGTGAAAATTAAAAACAATAGGAGGAACCACCAGAAAGATGAAACAAAACCCAACAGAAGGTAAAAATAAGTGATAGCGATTCGACTTCCATAGTTCTTTCTTTGGATGTGGACAGCATTTTCCATCCCGAGGCCTCTGGAGATGTTTTAGATCCTTGTAATGCTGAGAAGGGTTTAGTTTAACAATCTTAGTCATTGCATAACGTGGCTGTTATTGTGTACAAAGTCCTCTTGGTTCTGCTAACTTCACTCAGCATCAGACCATATAAGTCTTTCCAGGTTTTTCTGAAGTCAGCCTGTTCATCATTTCTTGTAATAGCTAGCGTTTTTATAGCACTTGAAGGTTTACGAAAAACTTTTCTAAGCATTGTACATGTGTTATCTCATTTAGCTGTGCAGTAAATAGAGAGCCTGGCTTAGAATCAGAAGGAGTTGAGTTCAAATCCAGCCTCAGACACTTCCTAGCTCTGTGACCTTGGACAAGTCATTTGACCTTTGTTTGCCTCAGTTTTTCCATCTGTAAAAAGGGGGTCATAACAGCACCTATCTCACAGGGTTGTGAGGCTGAAATGAGATATTTTTGAAACTCTCTTTAAACCTTGGAGCGCTACGTAAATGCTAGTGTTAACACTGAAGCTTTTTTTTTTTGTGAGGCAATCAGGGTTAAGTGACTTGC